AAAAAAAAACAAAACAAACAACAAAACAACAACGAACAAACAGAACTGCAACCAACTACAATTAATAATATATAAAATAAACTAAAATTACGGGAGTCTATGGCGGGTACCTGTGGCGCGCACAATTGTCCCACGTACCGCGGCGGGCAAATAGTCTGGTCTCCGGGCGCGCACAATAGTCTCGCGGTGGGTTCCCCGGTTTCCCGGGGGATCAAGGAGCAAGGATGCTCCGGAAAAAACTGGATTTTCTTGAAATCCAGCACTCAAAAAAAAAGAAAACAAAATGGCGTGGCGTGGCGTCGGTAGCCTTCTTTTTGGAGTACTCTAGACTGTCTCCGTACGCGTTTCCTTCGGGACTGGTTCACAGGACTGACCGTACGATCCCTTTTTCCCAACCGCACCCCGGCGGCACCCTCGAGCCCGGACGCACTGACCGCCACCGCGCACCATTAGTTTAAGGGTGAATGCGAGGGGTGTTTATGGCGGAAAAAGGAATAACAAAAAATAATTTTACTTCGCGGCACGTCACTATGTTTGAAAATAATATGGGCAAAGATAAATAATTGTATAATATATTAATATACGATTACCAACAATAAATTAATTGACAACTCTTAATTTTTAGGTGGCTTGGCTACGAGTGGACACACAAACTATTCTAGCAATCCACAGTCACGTTATCACGAAGAATCATAGGATAGCAGTGACTCATACGGAGCACCGAAACTGGTATTTGCATATACGTGATATTAGAAATTCCGATAAGGGATGGTATATGTGTCAAATCAACACCGACCCCATGAAGAGCCAAGTTGGCTATTTAGATGTAGTTGGTGAGGCCATTTTAACTTTTGCTATTAAATGTGTTCTGCTATACTGTTTCACTATTAAACTGAGTTCCAGCATCAAATGTTTATAATGCTGAAAATTTAAATTGATAACAATTATTACGGTGTGCCTTAGCTGTTATCCATAAATATATTCAAATTTAGTTTAATCCTGTGCACGATTGCTGTTAACACTTATATGCTACAATTACTAAAACAATTTCTGATTATTCTAACAGATCTAGGCATTCGGTCTCATAAATATTGAGCAAATATTGGATCGTACCTCCAAAAGTATCCAGCAAGTGTTGCGGGTTTAATTTTAAAAGCACAAAAACTTCAGACTCAAATTGTCTGCATTACTTTTAGCAAATTCTACTTACGAGTGATCTTGGACACATCCTCAATTTTCTTGCCAGAAATAGTGCATCAGTACACAATACTCGCGAATATCGTGGCAAATGTTTAATATTATTTAATGACACTCATTAATGATTTTCTTTTACTTCTTCTTAAGCTGTTTGATTCATGTTATTGAACGTTGGTAGCTAGTAGTTTGTTTACAGCAAATTTGGAATTGGAGGATCGAAATTGATGGTATTTCAGTAAATGGGGACCCCAGTTGCGCCCCATTTACTGTCAAATATGACACTGACAAGCGGGAAATTTCGCACCTGGGCTGGAGAATTCGAGAACCGTCTGGGTTACCTGGAGGAAACTATATAAGCATTACGTTTTAGCCCCATGGCTAAAAACTGACAGTGTAGGTACATTGATTGTACGTTTTCTGCTTGAGACATATAGGAATGTTTGAATTGAAAATATCCCTAAGCTGTCCAAATGCCGTCCACGACAACCCTATTCTCTTGTTCAACTCGCAGGTTTGATTATCTCGGCCAATACTAACCTCGTGTCCCAAATATTTATATGAGGCAACTCGCTCAATACTCCTACCTAAGCTAAACCTAAAGGTGGTCACACATTGCGTCTTCGCAAAATTTATTTTTAAACCGACTTCTTTGCTCGTTTCATGAAGGGTCTTCTACGTAGTATGTGCTTTGTCTTAGGACAATGTCATCAGCGAACGTCACCACTATTTGGACTTGGACCATTTCGTCCAAGTTTACTGTTTATAGGCATATTCAAAACTGTAGGAAACAGTTTAGGATATATTGTGTCGGCCTGACGAATTCTTCTTTCGAATTGACATTTATTTGTGTCTCCATGTAACCTTACACATGCAGGTGTTTTTCAGTTGGAAATTATATATCAATGATCAATACAAGTCAATCCGCCAGCGCGAGCAACATTTTGTGTTGATTTACGAGGTCTAGAGCCCTTTCGAATTCTATAAATACCAGGACAAGTGGCTTGTTATACTCGATACATTTTTCTATTAGAGTCTTAGTCGTTTGAAGGTGGTCGTTTGTGTCATACACTGCTATAAATCCTACCTGTTCAAGCGGCCGCTATAAATCTAATTTAGATATCAGACGCTTAGCTATAATCTTCATAAAGAGTTTGTAGACATGTGACAGTAAGCTTATGCATTTATAGTCTTCTAGTTTTGCGATGTCTCCTTTTTTGTGCAATATGATTATTACATCATTATAACAGGGAAGGTGCTGTTCCCTTCAAGAGACATGCACTGAAAAGCCGGCCGATATGTTTATGCAATATGTTTCCCCCTGCTTTAATAGACTCAATAACAATTTCATCTTCAAAATTTGGGTCCGCAGAGGGCGTCTAAACTTTACAAGGACCTGGAACATGTTAATATCTCATTTAGGTCTGACAATAGTCTGGGGAGTGTTTTGTGCCGCAAGAACGACGTCATTAGCGCGCTAGATAGGAGCGGTATATATAAGTTCAACTGTTCCTCGTGTCATGTGTCCTTTATTGGCAAGACCATTAGAAGACTGGAGACCCGAGTTAAGGAACATCTAACGTGCCTCGATAAGTCCAATTTCGGACATGTGTCTATTTCAGGTCACACTTTTGCACGCGACGCGAATGAAAGGATTCGCCCGCAACGTCCATAGTTCTCGCTTCAGGTTGAAGTTGCTGGAGGATTTCAAGATACTCAGGAATACTGCCAGGGTGGATTCTGATTGCTTGAACACATAGGTGATCTTCAATTGTGATTTCCCCACATTTTAAAGGGATTGTATCGTTTGAAGTAAGTGGTCGTCCCTTCAGCCATTGGGTGATCACGTTCATTCACCGGGTGAACCACCGGTTCATCGTGACCTGATATCATCGTTGGCTTCCTGTTTGTCTCCCCGCAGTGTTTGTGGGGTTGGGTATGAGACTGTCAATTATGGTTTGTTTATTTTTGGTTTCCTCGCGTTTTAACTGAATTACCTGATTCCAATTCCACGTTTTCCCTTTTTTAATATATGATAATTCCACCAGCATATAGCAGATGGATGGAAGAATCTACATTAACCTTCTTTTTCTTCCATCCAAGATAACTTTTCTCGTGGCTTCTAAATTGCCGAGAACCACATTATCTCAGTGTTGGACTGGTCGCTGGCTACTCATTTTAACCAGTCCAGGGTTTTTATTTTAACGTTTTCAAAAATTTTTCACTTTTGTGGACCTTTCAGGATTGGTTAAAGATTTTAATCTTAATTTTACTTCTAAGTTTAAAGTTTTATTTTAATTGTGAGCAAAATTTCATGAACGCAGGCGTGAGCAGTTTCATGTTGGTCCGTTTCCCGTCGGGTGTTGTTTGTGTTTTCTGACGGCCCCACCGTTGGTTGGCATACTTGTAAGTTTTTGCTATATTTTACTCTTTTCAGGTTCTTGACTCCCCAAAGGTGCCTATCTTTACTTTTTGTATTTTCAGTGGCCCTGATGATGATTTAACAGCCGAAAGCGCTGGGCCATATTGATATATTCAAGTTATGATGATTTTATCTTTCCTGGGTCTCAGTCAGAGTGTGAAGTAAAAGTTTTGAACATCGTTTATTTCATTACGTTTCGGCGAGCCATCATCAGATTCAAAATTTGATCCTGGTCAAATCCATGTTCACACATAGTGGACTCAATATTATCCTCTTTATATCCAAGTTTTTCATTCAGATTTCCTATAATAAGATTGTACGAGTTGTTATTTTTCCATTGCGGCTGCAATGTCCTCATAAAATATTTTTGCTTCCTGGTCTGAATGTGTAGTTGTTGAGGCATACACGTAAATAACTTTTAGTATCTTTTTTGCGCTCGTTCTTAGCACAAGAAATGCAACTTTCAAGCCTTCTCACCATATATCTGGACAACTGTGCCCTCGTCTCTCTTGTTTATTATGAAACCTACTCCTGCATCCGTCGAGCCGTCGTCTCCTTTATGATAGAATAGGTCTCCTAACTTCAGTCTTAGCTTTATTTTCTCCTTTTCTTCCTTTCTCTTGTATTGTCGATTATAAATTTTCTAATTCGAATTCTGAGAATATTTTAAGATTTTACAATATGTTGAACATGAACTTTAAACAGTACTTGAACCACTGGCCTCGAGTACTAAATTTATATGTTTGACCTATATGTCTAGCATCAGATAAAATTCTTCACATTACCTAGCTTATATTTAAGTTTTTCTTTAGATTTTTTATAAATTCCCTGAAATTACCGCTATTTCTTACATCCAGAGGTAGTTCATTAAATGATGCTGATGCCCGCGTTATTGGATTGCTTAAGCCTATATTACTCCTTACCCGTGTTTGATAAATGTTATTCTGTGTTCTTGTTGGAACTTCATTAATAAACATAAATTGCATGTTAGTTTTATGTAAGCTGTTGATGATTTTAAACACTAATTAACATTGATCAAACCCTGCAATTTCCCTTATTTTATTTTAATTTAACAAAGTATACAATAATTCTGAACTTGTCATTTTATTTAACTTATATAATATTTTTAAAATTTTGCTCTGTAAAATTTGGACAGTATTCAAAAGAGTTTCACCACAAACCCCATACACTGGTGGAAGATACCTTAGATGTGACATGAAGAAAGCACTGTATAAATGGTTTTTTGTTTCATTTGATAAATAGTCTCTACATCTAAAAATAAATGGAATCATTTGTTATATTTTCTAACCAACCAAACCAGCCCATCATCCATGACCAGTCCGAGATACTCCATTGATGTGACTCTTTGCAGAATACATCCATTTATAGCTATATTGAATTGATTTACAGTTTAATTTTTTTGCTTAAAGATAACATATTTTGTTTTGTCTACATTAATTTTTAACATATTATTATATAACCAACTAACATATTTTTTTTGTTCGCCCGGCGGCGGCTGGAGGATAAAAAATCTTCTCGAAGACACCCAGTGTCCCGTGACACCAGATAGTGTTGGATTTCTACCAACTAAAAAAATCCCGTTGTCTTGTGGTCAAAACTTGTGGTCTTCTATAAGAATGGTTCAGCTCTGGCATCCGTATGCCTTCACCTCTCATTCTCTCCATGCTAGCTAACTGCTAGAATAGGCATCTTACTAATTTGTCACAAGCACTACACTACTCAATACTACTTCTATCAGACTATCTTAAAAATTATACACTTACAGCACTCTACAGTTGACTGTTTGTACCTATTTATTGCCCTATTGGGCCATCTGGTGTCTGGGCCTCTTTTTCCTGGGACCATTGTCCTCTGGGGAGTAATCTACGGTATTTCGTAGCTCCTCAAAGGGGTGGTTTTCGGTCTTTTTGAAGGTCGTGGCTGCTTTTCCTTTCAGTAAATCTCTCAGTGAACTAACATAATGTTCAAGATCACAGTTAATATCTTTATTCAGACTTTCCTGTGTAGACTAGTACTGTGTCATCAGACTATGAAGGCTTTCACGGCCGGTTAAATCACATTTAGGAATGTTTTCTGGGCTTTGAAGCCGTGGTCTATGGGAATTTTTTCCTAAGGAAGGAAGAATTTCCCATAGACCACGGCTTCAAAGCCTGAAAAACATTCCTAAATGTTGTACTGTGTCATCAGCAAACGTAAAATATTGTACCGTGGATGGCCGAGTATCAAACTCTTTCTTCAGCTTCCAACTTTTATTCCACTCGGTATGACTTTAACTACGGAACAGGAACAAACTAACTTCTAAATTAACGTCAACTTCACAAACAATAACAATAACAAACGGAAAACTCGGTCTTCCGACTCGCGGGGTTTAACCTCTTCTGAACTCTGCCGCTGCTGTCACTTCACTGACCCCCCATGGTTCTCGTCGTCGCTTATATAGTTTCCTCCAGGTAACCCAGAAGGTTCTCGAAATCTCCAGCCCAGGTGTGAAATTTCCAGCTTCTCAGTGTTATATTTGACAGTAAATGGGGCCCAAATGGGGCTCCCATTTACTGAAATACCATGAATTTCGATCCCCCTTCCAAACGTGAGTACCCCAGGCCATTTCCGTTACACTGCCCCCGTTCTAAACCCTGATCGCCCCGATTAGGTAACTCCTGGATCATCGTTATATCTGGCCAAACGGTGAATATGGACAACTTTAAATTTTGCCTGGGGGCTCTTCTGGATTCGATATGTGACATCGTTGAGTCTGGTGATTATCGTTTAGGGTCCCTCCCAGGAGTTTTGAAGCTTTGGACAACGGCCTTTTGTCCGTCGGGGATTGAAAAACCAAACTCGTTCAACTTCGCTAAATCCGACTTGACTCGGTCTGGCGTCATATCGGCTCTTCATTCGATCAGATTCGATCTTCAATTTTGTTCTGACCGCATCGTGTACAAGTTTCAGTTGTTCTGCTAGCTTG